TGTGAAGATCAGTTCTTGTGTCCAGTCCGCGTTATTGTAGAAATATTGTTTAAAGCAGAGTAAAACCCTGCTCACAATACCGTGTACCCCCACCCCCCACCTCCTCCAATACCGTGTACCCCCACCCCACCCCACCCTCCGAGACCGTGCACAAAGAGCTCAAACATTGGTTGACCCTATATACGTTTCTAGTTCTGTTCACCCAAGGATGGACTAGTAGACTTTGTACAAGAATCACTGCTATTAACGTTATTTATCACCTTCACCTTCACCCCATGAAAGGTCATTTCATGGGGTAATGATGATGTAGACTAATGATTATGATGATGGTGATGGTGATGGTGATGGTGATGGCGAAGATGATGACGATCTCAACGATGATGATGATGATGATATGATGATGGCAAAGATGATGACGATCTCAATGATGATGATGGTGATGATAATGATGATGGCGAAGATGATGACGATCTCAACGATGATGATGATGATGATGATGATGATGATGATGATGATGATGGCGAAGATGATGACGATCTCAACGATGATGATGATGATGATGATGGCGCAGATGATGACGATTTCAACGATGATGATGATGATAATGATGATGGCGAAGATGATGACGATCTCAACGATGATGATGATGATGATGATGATGATGATGATGATGATGATGATGGCGAAGATGATGACGATCTCAACGATGATGATGATGATGATGATGGCGCAGATGATGACGATTTCAACGATGATGAAGATGATAATGATGATGGCGAAGATGATGACGATCTCAACGATAATAATGGCGGCGATCTCAACGATGATGATGAAAATGAGCATTACATTGATAATGATATATTTGAAGTATTTGAACCGCCTGTCTCAATGTTGCTGCGTATGATGTTACGGACAGTTTCAGTGCCCTATGGTATCGTCCAGCTACACAGGGGTTGTCCAGTGTTTGTAGTGGGTCAGTGAGTGATAGGTCAGTTGTGTAATGTATTTAGCGTGTCCGGTGAAACAGGCCCATGTCAACATGTCCACACCTTGTACAGAATCGCCACGGATTAGAAGCGACCTCCAACAGACCTTCTGAGACCATCATCTCTCCGCTGTTACACACAGAACACTGAATATATATAACGAGTCTGTCTCACAGTCCCTGAATCACATTATTTCCCATTCCACCCTGCCTTTTCTGCAATGCTAAAGCCCCAAATGAAGCAAGTCTAAATTTCCCTAGGTTCTGAATCTCCATTCTAAGCTGGGGATACTTTTGAACTTTATAGGAATTGTTTGTTTCTATCAAATAATATAGATTAAGCGTTAGTCTATTTTAATGTATGCATTGCCATTCGTGAAAGGATGTATGACTAGTTAAAGTAAAAGCGTGTAAGAATGAATAAACATAACTAACATAGTAATGTCTTATTACCCAAGTCAAGATTTATCAGTAAGTCCAAAACTCCATCTATTCGATCTTTAAGAATATCACCTAAATTTTCAGGTTATTTACAAATATAAACTTGTATGACGTATAAAATCTTTAAAAGGGAACACCTGGGAAACTGTGGGATACAACGTACAAGCTACACACTCGCATTGCACTCAAAGGTTTTCAAATCTTTACTGTGCTGACAACAGTCACCGAACACGTGAAGTACAGCAATTATATTAGATAAGACCTACACCTAGTTTTGAATCATAAACTATAGATCAAGGGATCATGTTGGACCTCGCCCTTGCGCCATATGCGCATTGAAATATGAAATGGGACATTAAAGCCAATATCAGGGGCCCTCATTGAGCATAGTAATCTCACATGCCTCAATACAATTTAACACCTGGGCCTTGATAGAACATAAGTCGTATGTGCATTAGTATAGCCATGGTTCTATTGCTCTAAAACACAGCCATCATGTCACTCATCAAAGTTCTCATTTCTTGTTTGTTTTCTATTTCATGGATTATGGATGTACACAGTCTTTTCCTGGTATTACATATTATATTGGTATATTTTTTTTCTGAATTTTGGAAACGTTGTTATCAATGAAATCACGTTCTTAGGTGTATATTGCGTTGAGCATATCAATGTTTGTAAAGATAAGAGTACATCCCAGACAACTAGTAATTGATTAGGTGTAAGCATGGTAAACCTCACTTGATTTAATGTTAGTTTAACTAGTGACTATGCCACTGAACATCTTTGAGGCGGATATGCCTCTACAAAAGCATTATACATATTGTTAATATATCACGTTGATCACGTTCTTACTGTCGAGTTTACGTTGAGAATGGCTTCGATTGGGAAATAGTACCTTCTTGTCATGCCTGCAAACATGATGGTACTTCCTGGTCAAATGGTTATGAGTACAGAGACCTGAACCGGCCTGAAAGTATTGACCATCGAGGATGCTAACATGACACTCGAGCGTAGATGGTGGTCGAAATAACACCTCTCATGACTCCAGTGTTTGGCCAACACGGGTCAAGGAGATGATGGCCAGTGGTTAATTAAGGTAAAGGCTCGGTTACCTGATGTAGGGACGTTCCCACGTACTGTGGGGGTTCGTGTAGCTCGGATCGGCTGGAACGTAATTATTCATTGTTTAATCAAGGTGACAGCTGATTGTTTTAAAGCATTACGTGCTCTGTAACAGATAATACATGCAATTCTCTCAGTGTATCCTAGGTGGACATGCTTTGTGGGGTGTTTACTGAAGTTCTGGTTTAAATGTTCTTAGAGTTTTCAAAAAGAACTTTAATCGACCTTAGGGTCTATAAGTAAAGAATAACATTCTTCATTATATTTTCTACACAAACGACACTTGGTTTAATTTTTAAAAATTACTGTATACATATTTGGGATGGAGTGGGGAAATCATCAACATCAGCGACAATTATTATTTACATTTAGCTATATAATTCAATTGATTTGTGGGGCGGTGGGATAACATAGTGGTAAAAGCGCTAGCTCGTCACGCCGAAGACCCCGGTTCGATTTCCAACATGGGGAGAGTGTGTGAAGCCCATGCCTGGTGTCCCCGCTTGTTGCTTGAATATTGCTAAAATCATCCACACTCACTCATAGTGCTTACTGACTTGCACACATTTCGGCAGTAGGAAGAAGCCTAAACACATTGATTAAATAATGTCTAATTGATATTCCGTGATATTGGATGTTCCCCATATTGTCAAACTGTAGTTCTGTTTAACATGGTAGAAGTGTGTTTATATCAACGGGCATATGGTTTTACGTGGTACTCTGCTATGGTTTTCATTCTTGGACCTATCGAAGGAAGTTTCAAAGCTATATCTAAACCTTTGACAATATTGGTCATGGCAATCCCTGTTAAAACTTTGAAGGTTTAGGCAGTGACCCATCTGCTTGCACTTTCTGTGCCCCATTCGTTAACACCCGATGTGCCCCATCCATTAGCACATGCGGTGCCCCTAAGGTTACACCCGCTGTGCGCTACGTCGCCTCCCACTATTAACTATTTACCACAATTTAGAGTCCTGCGGTGAAAGAATAGGGTGTGGTTGGTGCAGCAGTTACAGCCTATTATCGAATAAATCCCGTCAATTTCCTTGTTTCCATGGTAATTCACAAACAAACAGCACCTACGGACTTTGTATAGAGTACAGAGGATGTAGCACTCTGAGGTTTATAGTGAGTTGTGAATATATATTGATAGAACTGTATCGTAAAACAACAGTTTATGGGTTTTTTGTTGTTTTCTTTACTTCAATTTATGTCAAGGATTAATCAATTCTTTTGATCATTTGAGAAAACTATTAGCAAGCATGTCTTTGTGCTAAACAAAAAAGGGGAATCAGTAAAATGTGTTTTGTGTGTGTGAATTTTAAACGTTTTCTGAAGTTAGTAAAAACAGACCCTAGTTACAAATTCTCGTCAATATAATAATTGTTAAAAAACTGAATCATAATCTTTACAAATTAACGCTGATTTGGTGTATGCAATTCATAGAATACCAGTTGCTTAGTTCTATGCTCATGATGTCAATCACTGGATTTCCTAGTCCAAAAACGATTATTTAAAACCCCATCATCATATAGTTGGAAATTTGCTGACTGTGGCGTTAAACAAACAAACAAACAAGCAAAGGGCATATTTTCTGTAGGTGTTTTTGTTGTGGTGTATATGTTTTACCGTTTATAGTCTATAATTCGAAAAGGATCCAACCATATTACAATGACAGATCAGTTACAAGATCTGTAGTCACTTGGTGTCAGATACCTCCCAGCTTGGTTAACACCTATACAGCAGATATCGAATACCAATACACCACACGTTTACGGGTTCTTTATGTGGTTCCATTATTAATTGCATTAAACGACGCCGATACATTATTGAAGGACGTTATTGCATAAAACGTAGCTTAAACAAACATTAAACAATAGACAGCCCGGGGCCTGTAAGTGCAATTAGGCAATTAATGTTGATGTTATGTTTAAATACTTTGAACGTTTCACGATCAAAGGTAGCAGCGATTAGCGGTGTTTTTGTTCTTCGTCACAGCTGTTGCACATCTAGGACGTCGGTAACGACTCAATACTTCACCACCCCCAACATGGTGCATAGTTGTTGATACGGTATATAGGTCCTATTGATCTCAAGTCTTATTGGATTGAGGTCATATTACGATAGTACTCATTGCTATTGGGACATCGGTCGTTCTGCCTGGTTCAGTGTTCGTGTCCTCGGAAGGATACTTGGACTGAGCCGAGACACCGGCCACACAGTTCGGGGATCGATGGCTGGATGTCACCATGTGCTAATTGGAACAGCAAGTTTTTTGTTTTAGTTCCGCATCCTGTGTAAACTACACAGGGGCCGTTGTCGAGTTGAGACGCCGGTGGAAACATACACGGCACAGATCGTAGGGACATCGCTGGAGAAGGGAGGCATTTTTTATCCTTTTTTTATCACCTCATAACAAGACATTATATTTTGGAGAAGCGGATATAAATGGAAGAAGAAACTGTGTAAAGTATTGACCGGATTGGTGACAGTGATGAGGATGTACAATGTGACAATGATATGACGTTTTTCCGTGAATATCATTCAGTTTTACTCAACCATATGACATTTGTCTCTAGTCCGTGTTCTCAGTTGAACTGCGGATGTGTGAAACACGTCATTAATTTATGTGTATCCGATTCGCAATAAGACTTCAATAATACATCGACTTAGCTGGGAAAGTGCAGTTGCTTGTATAATAGACTTCCTCCTGTCTCTGATTGCGACCTGAAGACGCCGACGCTGAAGACTTTCATTGATTGAAGGCTGCTAAATGGAACGTATATGAAGTGTTTGTAGACCGAGTTCAGCCCAGATAAGATTGTGCCTGGCGGTTGTATGGTGGCGTTATTTCCGCCTCGTCACATCTGTAACAAACGAAGTATAACGGTTTGTCAAGTGATCGGAGAAGTAGGGTTATACACACAGAGAATCTGTCTGGCTCGTGATCTGCCGCTTTATTGAGGATCACGCCTCATTGGACACGCTGGACTCGAACCAGTCTCGAAGGATTAGCTGTTCATATATTCTATAAATCTCCCTAGCTGGATTTTGCTGAATTAGCTGTTTATAAGTAAGATTATCGATCTGACGTAATTATATTTTCATCTGATTGCCTGGGGAACAGTGGTAGTATTAGCGAGGTAGGTAGGTAGGTGCAGCATCGATCGTGCATTGTTTGGAACAGACTTGTCGAGGAGTGTGCAGGCGGTTGTGTTGGATGATAGTTCATCTCCGAACTTCACTTCTGGACACGACTCTCACTTAAATGCATTGATGTTGGAGACACACACCTCGCTCCTCATCACTCGCTGTTTCGATGTTTCGTGTTAATCGAATGTTAAGGCAGGGTTACAGTGTCAGTTCTCGGCGGTAATATCCAAGATTGTTCTCCCATGAAACAAACAATACTCTCGAGAACGGAATACTTTCTGAATATTTTGATGTGATAGTACAGATACGTACATGGTGTTTCGTCAATGGCTGCAGGAGGAGAACACGCGGGACCCCAAGCACGGATCCGGACTCTGTTTGTCAGCACATTTACTAGAACAGCGCACCTGTTCAGAGTATAACATTGGTTAGCACCATCCGGTGTTCCTGTATGTGGTACTGTTCTACCAGAACAGCCAACCATCGTTGAACCTTTTCTTTCAAGTAATTTACGACTCTTGTGAAGAACCTCACCAACCTATCACACGCCACATTGGCGTCCCGACTCTGCAGCATGGACGCCATGGAATACCTGGATGCCCATGACGACATCGAGTACCTTGCTGCGTTAGCTAAAATGGGGGACCTGAGCGACGACATCGACGACGACATCCGCCCCTCGGCCTGGAGCCCTTCCTTCAGTGAATGTTCCGATCATACTTACGCTACGGTAGGTCTTCCATCTTTTCAAAGACGAAAATGTGTTCACTTATGTCGTGACGTGAATGGGCTGTTCATATACCGTTCGCGTACCTCTCGTGCACCGTTCCTGCATTGTTTGTGTAAAGTGTGCGTCGTGTATCGATCACGCTTAATGTATGTACATCAAATACATATCCATATATTCAAACCTTAACTTGCAAGTTATCAAGTACAAAATCAGCTTACAAATGGTGGATGACTAGGATCTTTATTTGTTATTAATCAGTACTTAATATCTCATGCATATTTCATCCCGTCTGTGAGGGTGCACGTGAGGCACTATTGTTGCGGAATTAATGCGACTCACAGCCACTGTTGTTGGGACAAACACAGGTCCAATAACACCCCAATACCCAGAGAACTCGGCTGTAATGAAATCACAAATGCACATCAAATATCTTCGATCAAATCTGCTATTTAATTAGATTGGCATGTCCAGCCCTGCGGACGACAAAGCGGATCGGCCATTAACTGCACTCCAAGGGGAGATAATCCTGTCAGTTAGGGGAGAAAGGATTAGCCCTCGAGTTGGGAAAAGCTTCCCCCGGGGTGGGATTGTTTCAGGTCAGGGAATTTCAGGTCACACTGTTAGAGGTTTAATTTCTGTGTAATAATGCCACATGTGAGATCTCACTTACTAATGCCTCAATGGTTTGAGAAAGCCATTATCGTGATAAGCTGACTACGTGCATAATGTGTCTCAAGCCTAAACGGGGAAAACAAATAACACAATGTAGCATGCTTTGCACTGGCGCTGCGGTTGTATTTTGTATTATGAGAACATACAGTGGTCATTTAATCCATATAGAGTTGCATTCACAAATCAAAGACATTTGCATTGCTCCTTGCTGAGATTTTAGTTGGTGCCGTTTTCGCCATCATAAGATTTGTAGCCGTTTTCGCCAAGTCGAAGTTCCCTTATGTCCAAATGGTGCCGTTTTCGCCAGGTGACGTTTTGCTGTGGTGACGTTTTAGCCTGAACCCCTGAGATTTGTCCCATAATCTTTCGATCGTAGGTTCGAATACCAGATCCGTCTTGATTATGATTCAAGGTCTGGAAGCACCATAAACGTTTCACTCACTCACTCTAACACTCACTCTATGTTGTGGAAGCAGACAGGATGTATTTGGTTGTACTCGTCCTTGAGTGGCAATGGCAGTGTCATAACTATGGGTCACGAAGACAGATAGCTATGTTGTTTTGTTTAAGTTTAGTGGCTCGTCCTGAGTGATACACTATCACTATCGCTGGTATATACATGATAACGTATTCAAAAGGAGTTTGGACTGGCGCATGATTGATTTGTTTTAACTGTTCATACACTAAACAGTTGTACGGATTAACGGGTTCGACGTGCACGCAATTTTCTTTCATGGAAATATTAATCTAAAATCCAGATCTCATACTGCTCAACTGCCTCAGGCTGGAGATTCATCTCATTAAAGTCACATTTACGTCTCAATCAGAGCTTGTTACAACTGTACGACTGCTCATTATCCGACCTTGAAATCAATAGAGTAGAGGAGATAAATACACATAAGATGGCGCCCAGTTACTCTACACAATGGAAGATGATTCTGGGAGATGAAGATGTCGCTGTCCCAGCTGCTGTCTTGGCTGCGATCAATGCCCACTAGATGAGCCACATTAGGTAGGGAAGGGCTTGTATTGGATTCTTGATTAACACACATATGACTCTCTGGAGTTAGTTTTACATCATCCAGACACTTGCGTGAGATGCACGTCCATTGTTACCGCCAAGGCAGCTCGATCTGAGATAGACGGACAGAAGGGGAAAGAATATGGTTCAGGGACTGTGAGACAGGTCGGTAATGTAGCGTTTAAATAAATAAGATTGCCTGTACTGTGAGCGTCTCCTGTACATATACAGTTGCCATGTAGTGAAGGAGTAAAACTGTACCAACGTTCACGACGACGTCGCCGTGAAACGTGATCATTTGTACTGTGGCATCGTAATATTTCCGATATCTGGTTATGTGCCGGTCCAAATGCCAACAGAAAGTATGTAGAATTTATAAGCGTGCTTTGTGAACAGTCTCTTTACAAACTTGTTAATGTAATTACCTTTTAAAATAAATTCTACTATAAATATATGAAACATAAGGTATATGTATTAAGGTAAACAGGATCGTCAACGTGAGAGGGTCGTCAGCATTTCTTTAGTCCCTAAATGAAAATGGTGAATTGCAAAATAACTCAAAATAAGGAATAGCCTATTAAATTTGACAACTGTTATCAATTTTACTCTTTTTAAAATAATAATATGTACATGTACACCCGCTTTCGATATGATCAGGAGGGAAATAAGTAAACTTTACATTATCGAGAAAACAAATGCCATCTTTTCTTGTAATTTTACCAAATTTGTTGGATTCTGGTCTGATTGCATCCATTGTTTGATTGATAGTAACGTACAACTTGTCTATTTTCCGACAATGCCATCTGTTATAATATGCTTGTCAATGTGAGACACCATTAAGATCTGTACCGTTCCTCAAATTGTTGTACCTACCTCCCTGTACGTTATCAAGTAGTGCACGTAACAACATGGTCGGTTCTTAAACAACATTTTTCCAGTGATCGGTATCGAATTAAGAAACAGCAGGTATTGGTTGGTTCAGGGTATTCAGCAGGTATTGGTTGGTTCAGGGTATTCAGCAGGTATTGGTTGGTTCAGTGTATTCATTGTCGTTAAATAGACTATTCTCAATTTTGAGTTATTTTGCAACACATCGTTCGCATGGGCATTTCGGATACACAGACTGCCAATACCCACAGTTTGACGACCGTAAACTTGAAAATGAATATTTATTAAACGAAGCCCGATCATCATATAATGGTTATTTTGAATTTTTTACAACCGAAAATCGATTTATGACATTTTAATAAATGTGCTGGTTTAACAATGTATTGATAAAAATGTAACATATGTTTGACATTGACGTTTGATTCGATACTAACATAACTGTATTGATTAAATAAAAAGGCTCAATGGTTGGATATTGCAGTAGGAGGTCAATTGAGTCCTTGTTGTTTATGGGGGAATAATTGACGAACAGAACCGTGCAGTAATAACTTTAAGGTATCACATTTGACGCACAATGCTCACGGGGTAGCCTAGTGTTTAGAGGGTTCGCCCGTCACGCCGAGGACTCGGGTTCGATTCCCTTCATGGGTACACTGTTTAAAGCCGTTCGTGTTGTCCCTGTCGTATTTCTGCTGGAATTTTGCTTACACGCACGCACTCACTCACTCACAGTTTAACAATGGAGAAGAGGGTTTCTCCCACGTGATCAGCGGTACCTGAAACCATCACGTGTTTCCTAGAGTGATTATGCTTTTACGCCGCTGGATATCTATCTATCTATCAATCAATCGCTGGATATCAAATTCGCCCTATATTTAATCGGGCTTTTCTTCGACGTTATACGTTACTTAACACAGACTTGCGACAGTCGTGTTCGATTTGTGAAACAACAGACAATCAAAGACTGAATGATCCTCGTTAAAGGGACGTAACTGTTGTTTTTGATTGAATGAGGGTTGTATCTCTGTTGGACGGACTGACTGACTGAGTTTAGTTTTAGCAATATTCCAGCAATATCACGGCGGGGGATACCAGAAATGGGCTTCACACATTGTGCCCATGTGGGGAATCGAACCCGGGTCTTCGGCGTGACGAGCCAACGCTTTAACCACTAGGCTACCGCGCCGCCCCGTATCTCTGTTGGAATTTACATGGGTAACTAATGCTTTTTAAACGGACTGTTAAATACGATTATGGGCGAAGAGAACAAGAAAACCAATCACAACGCACCCTAAACCAATAACGAAATAATGTTACATTATACGTTGTTGTAGTCCGCCATAATCACAGTTAAGTCACAGCTCTTTATCAAATACTTGCCCTAGTTTCATGGTTAATTTAATCCATAAACGTCATGCATTTGGTCCACATTATGTACTTCTGATTGTAGTGTGTTGTCTTGATGGAATAAGCCTTTGTTATTTTATTCCTTCAGCGTGAAATTAACTCGATCCCTAAAGCAAGCTCTTTCACAAGCTGACAAAACTGTGAAGATTTAATTACAACGTTTATGTTGACATCCGATAACAAAGTGTGTGATTAGTTGGACATACATCTTTAGTGTTATCTCCAACGGACGGGTACTGTTAGGGGATAATTCCCTGTGTAATCCCATCTACCCCAGTGTCCAGGCAGTAATCCCTTGTCGAGATGACCAAAGGAGCTGTTAGAACCCACAGGAGCCCCCGGGCTGTTTCAGTGCACCAATAGTGACTCGAGCTTTCAGCGACCCCCTTAATTGACTATTTTTGTTTCGGTTCAGTAGCAGTTGTCTCCCTTCGTAGAGCCATACGCTCCGCTTGGTTGCATTTGTAAAGGGTAACAGTATTTTAAATATAAATCCAAGGATCAGTCTAAGCATGATTGAACTACATATTGTCAAATAAACTCTGAAGGATATTGAACAAATAGAATTTCTGTTGTCATTCTTCTGATTTAAGAAAAAAACATGTTTGTTTTTTGCGTTTTGTAAGAAAAGTAGTTCTTTGGTAGTTTCTGTAATTTGAAATTGATATCTTTGTCTAGCTTTGAACATGGCCACATGACTCATGGATAAAAGAACGTCGTGCTGTTTGAATCAAAATTGCAACGCCACTTCTTACTTGTAGGCAGATATTTTTCATCTGAAAAGGGAAGCAAAACACTTTTTTTTTAAAAGCCGGCATCAACAGACACATGGCTTCATGGGCCAAGTGAGCAGTTTCACACGAAGTCATATTGTCCAACAGTTGGCGTGATTGAGTAGGATCATAACGGTAGTCGGCAAAGATTCTGCTCCATGTCTGCACACCTAACATCTGGTACAGTGTACACTCTCTACCGTGTAAGTTCAGGCCTATTATTCATGCTGTCACTTATC